ACAAAAAGGGCTTTTGTTGCAGAACTTCTCAGAGCGTTGGACGTGCTGACGCAAACTATGTAAAACAGAAGGGGGTACAGCTCCTCCCAGCCTCAGATGACCAAGGACCTCACTCTCACAGCATCTTATAGGATAAGATGAAAAATGCTGTTTTAAAAGAATAATGTGGGGCGCCTGGGTGGCTTAGTTGGTTAAGCCTCTGACTTAAGCTCAGGTCATGATCTCACAGTTCGTGGGTTTGAGCCCCGCGTCGGGCTCTGTGCTGACAGCTCAGAGCCTGGGCCCTGCTTCAGATTCTGTGTGTCCCTCCCTCTCTCTGCGCCTCCCCTGCTCACACTCTGTCTCTGTCTCTCAAAAATGAATAAACATTAAAAAATTAAAAGAATAATGCAGGAATGCATGGCGCACACACACACACACACACACACACACACACACACACACCCCACAGGCAATTTCTTTCCATTTAGGTTCCAGGGAGGGAGAAATAAAGAGGGCTGGCAGTTCCATTTTTGTTATCACACAGCCAGAGAAGCAAAGTCAGCCGTTTGGTCCTGACACGCAGACCTCTCCCTGTAAGCAGGCAGGGATATTTCCCAGAGAAGGTTCTATGATATAGTTAAGGTCTGGGGCCATTAGAGGGCTCTGGAGGCCGGATGGATTGTTTCCAATCCCCAGACACACTCAGGAGGGACTGTCACCATAAGGAAGTGTGGTGTATGAGACACAAATGCATCGGAGGTGAGGGATATTTCAACCTCCACACCTGGAGCTTCTGGGCGGGATTAATATAGACACTCTTCTTTCCCACTAAGTACAGGATAAAAATAGCAAACTGGGGACAAAAACCTACCTGTCCAATATAGAATGACTTATTAAACTTGTTTAAAATATCAAAATAAAACTGAAATGGACCACTCCCTATGATCATAAATATTAGATATCTGGGAGAGAAAAGCTTTTCAGATACGTCTCAGCCTTCTAGCTGTCAATGCTCCGCTTCCGCACAGCTGGCATTGCCCTTTCTCCTGGGGTTGTTCGTTCTTTTTCATCGTTTATGTGTGCCTATCTAAAATGTCACAGCCTCAGGGCAACGGTCCCTTCCCTTAGAATATGCAACTTGACATAGAACCTGATCGACACATCGAATATTATGAGCACACATGTACATGAGCGTGTATGTATGTGTAAGTCCAACAGCCCGAAATATGGAGTATTTGGAGTCATACTATTTAAGAAATTAAAAAAAAAATTTAATGTTGTATTTATTTCTGAGAGAGAGAGAGGCAGCATGAGCAGGGGAGGGGCAGAGAGAAGGAGACACAGAATCTGAAGCAGTTCCAGGCTCTGAGCTGTCAGCACAGAGCCTGACACAGGGCTTGAACCCACAAACCGTGAGATCATGACCTAAGCTAAAGTTGGACCTTTAACCAACTGAGCCACACAGGTGCCCCTAAAAAATTTTTTTAATGTTTTTTATTTTTGAGAGAGAGAGAGCGTGCACTAGCAGGGGAG